TCCTTCTGGCTTGGAAGAGCCCTCATGGAAGGAGCTCCAGGTGAGAGACAGGACTTTTTTCTCTGAGCCTGCTGGAACAACAGAGAGGTCTGGCAGAACATAGGTAAAACAGCATTCTAGGTAAGAGAGCTAAGGAGCCCACTTGGGTTTGGATGAGTGCAAGAGAAAGGTAGACTACCAGGTAAAATGACACAGATGGAAAGAGGTTTCTAAATAGCTAGCACTTTGGCTGTAGAATCAGGCTTATAGATACACATTTTGCATTTTGCATATAGTTAAGAAAAGAAGCTCTCTTACTTTCTGTTTCCCTCTCTCTGTCTCTGTCTCTCTGGGGCACCCTTTACCCATTCCATAATAAACTTCCTTTCTCATACCAAATACATTGTGATGGCTTTTATTATTACATCGGTGCCATGAAACTCGGTGGGCACTTCCTTTGTCTTCACTCCAGAATCCCATTCCCTTTACTGCCAACTTCCTTTCTCTCCTGGTGCCTCTTCCAACCACTCTCATCTGCTTCACCTCTCACGATCAATCGTGCCAGCCCATCTACTATTAGGAAATCCACTCAAATCCACCTCCTGGGTCAAATGGACTCCTGACAAGTACTGCACCTATTGTCAATTTCAGAGGGTGGGATTCTTTTCCCCATTCCCCCTGCCCAGCTCAAAAGACCATGGGCCTAAAAGTTTCAAATGTACACCCAAGAAAAAAAATTTCTCTAACATTTAACCTTGTTTTCTGTTCTTATGTTTGTTCCCATATCCTGCCAGGCCCGGGTGTTTTCTACATCCAAGACAACGCCAAAACCGCTACCTACACAGGTGCTCCAACCCAAACCTCACAGACTGCATCAATCTAGACCTGCATTTGCCCTCCTAGCCGCTGATGTTCTCACAAATCCTGAACACAGCAATGAGAAGGCTGGCACTGCCACGACTTTGCCAACACTCTCCAATTCCCTTAGGGTACCCCAAAGATCTCGCCGTCCCCAGTCAGCAGGAAGCAGTCATTCCAGAACACAACGCCCTCATTCCCATCTTGCCACCTGTTCCTAAGTTTGCCATTTTTAACTAAAGAAAAAGGAAGGAGGGATAGACCAATGACTCAGAGGTTAAGGGCATTGGCTGTTCTCCCAAAGATCCTGAGTTCAATTCCCAGCAACCATATGGTGGCTCATAACCATCTATAGTGAGATCTGGTGCCCTCTTCTGGCATGCAGGCACCCATGCAGGCAGAATACTGTATACCTAATAAATAAATATTGAAAAGAAGAAGGAGGAGGAATGTTAGGCTGTTCCCACTAGGCTACTTCTAGGTTGCCTCGAAACCTCTGATGTCATCACCTGAGGCCACCAGGTGCAAGAAATATAACCTGTCTCTTTGTTTATCTCCCTCTCTGTGTCTCTGTCTTCCTGGGGCACCCCTTCCCCTTTCCATAACCACCTTTCTTAAACCAGAAAAGAGAAGGAAGGAAGAAAGGAGAGAAAGAGAGAGAGAAAGAGACAGAAAGAAAGAGAAAAAGAGAGAGAGAGAAAGAGAGAAAGAAAGAAAGAGAGAGAGAAAGAAAGTTACCTCATTGAGCTAGCAGGTTTATACCTCACTGTATGCCTCCTGTGTCTTTATTGGTACAAATATTAGAAAAATTTAAAAAGCTAAATATGACATTAATCCCTGGGATCAACAAGTTGGGAGAAAAAATAAAAAACAAAACACAATCCTCTTCAAGTTCTGGATTACACTAGCACCAAGAAGAAAACAAGCAAGCGAGCAAAAGAAAACCTCAGAGAATTCCTAGACAGCAAACCATGCTAAAACAAAAACTGCTAAAAAGTTCTTCAATGAGAGAAAAACAGAAGGAAATTTGAAACCTTAGCAGTAACAGAAATTATAAGTAAGGGTAGTTGCAAATCTTTAATCCCAGGATTTGATAGGCAGAGACAGGATGAGTTCTATGAGTTTGAGGCTCCAGACCAGCAAGGGCTACATAGTGGGATCGTGTCTCAATAAGATAAAAGTAACTTTGAAACTGAACATGGTGCCTCATGCCCCTATTTCTAGCACTTGGGAGGTCAAAATAAAACAGTGACTACAAGGCCCGACTAGGCTAGACACTGAAACTGTCTCTACAAGACAAAAGGAACATTGTGTCAGTGAGAAGGTTTATCAAGAAAAGGTGTTTGTTTCACCCTGAGTTCAATCCCTGAAACCAAAGTAAAGGTAGAAGGGGAGAATAAATGATATAAATATATCCGCTGACCTCCATACAAGCAACATGGTCTACATGTGCCTTCATAGACAGATACATATATATATATGTATATATATATATATGTATACATATACATATATATATATATATATATACATACATACACACACACACATTTCAGGTGTAAAAATACACACACACAAACAATAAACTAATAAAGTTTTAAAAAAAAAGCATTAAGCTACGGATATATACTTCAATGTTAGAGAAATTATCTGGTACCTGAGAGGCCTTAATTTCAGTCTTCAGTCCTACTAAAGAAAATACCCTCTGACTAAATTTCAGTATATGTATACAGATACATAAGGCAACAAAGAGTAAGTAAAAATAGTGAGGAAAGGGGCTCATGTAAGAGTTAAGCATCTTTCAACTGGGGGCTGGAGAACTGGCTTAGTGGGTAAGAGCACCTATTCTTGCAAAGGCCCAAGGTTTGATTCCCAGCACCCAAATGGAGATTCACCACTTCCTTAGGTATCACACATACATGTGGAACATCGACATACATGCAGGCACAGCACTCATACACACAAAATAAAATAAATCTGAAAAAAAAAATCTTAAAGAGTCTTTCGAGCCACACATGGTGATACAGGCCTATAGTCCCAACACTTGGAGAGGCAGAGGTAGGCAGCTCACCAGCCTGTTCTACAAAGAGTGTCCAGGACAGACAAGGCTACACTGAAAAACCCTGTCTCAAAAAACCAAAATGAAGAAAAAAAGTCTTTCAATTATAATACAGTACCTGATTCTACTTAAGTAGACTATGTAACAAAGACTTTAGTAATCACTGCAATCACCAAAACAAACAAAACCATAAAGGTAGAATCAAAAATTACAATTAAAACATAATGCTAAAAAAATTCAAATAACCCTTCAAAAGAAAAAAATGATTAACAAGAAGGTGCAGAGGTCAAAAGAGGGCATTGGATTTCCTGGAAATGGAGTTACAGGCACTTGTTAGCCACCACGTGGGTGCTGGGAACTGAACCCAGTCCTCTGCAACAGCAGGAAGTATTCCTTGACACTGAGCCTATTCTCCAGTCGGGTGGTGAGGGGTAGGAAGTCTTTGTTTGAGATAGGCCCTCATATTTGCCAGGCTAGTCTCAAACTTGAATAGCCAAGGATGACCAACCCTCCCAATCCTCCACCTTCCCAGTACTGGCATTAGAGGTATGCGACACCTTATCTAATTATATGGTGCAGGCTCCTTCACCATATGCCTGGTGAAGTCATCTGCTCAGACACACAAACACAAACAAAATGAACTACAAAATTTAAAAAAGAGAGAACTGAAACAAGTAATAAAAGTTAACCTAAGTCTAAAGATATCTGCAAATAACTGTATTAATTTTAAATAATATAGAAATTAGTAGACAAAGACTAATAAAATAAAAAATAAAGCCCACAGTTCTATGTTGGCTATAGGAAATTTAACCTCAAATATGATGCTATAAATAGGCTAGCTGTAAATATGGATAACGCTCAGTGATAAGACTGCTTGTTTAGTATGTGTGAGCCCTGGGTTGCATTCTACTTTCTACTCCAGTGCTGGGAATCAAGCCTAACTCCTCAGGGATACTATACAAGTACTCTATCACTGAGCCAGACCTCCTGCCCATTTTCTGCCATCTTTTATTATTTATTTTTTCATTAACTGAGCACTTTTTCTATTATGTTTTAATATTTTTAACCCCAACCCTTCCCTTTAACTCCTCCAGGTCTAACCTCATCTCCATATACCCTAAACTTCATGTCCTTTTTTTTTTTTTTTTTTTGGTTTTTCTTTGTGTAGCCTTGGTTGTCCTGAACTCAACTTTGTAGGCCAGGCTGGCCTTAAACTCACAGAGATCTACCTGCCTCTGCCTCCTGAGTGCTGAGATTACAGGCGTGCACCACCATTACCTGGCTCATGTCCTCTTTTTAATTTAGTAATATATCAACTTCTAGCTGTGGGACCATTCACTGGATCATGGCTGACCTACCAGGAACAATTATCATTAAAGAAAACTAGCTCTCCCTCTCTAGAAGCCGACAGTTATCAATAACACTTAAGTTGGGGTAGGATGCTCATGAACTCCTTCCCAATCCAAGCTAGAATACTGACTGGTTTCAACTATGGCAGGCAACTACAATTAATCCTTAATCTGAATTTTAGCAATTAGCCATGAATGTTATTTTTTCACCATTTTATTCAATATGAAAGAACTACCATGTTTTCCATGGAGCAGGGGTTTAAACCTAACACAGTACACTAAGTGACTCTCAATAAGAGCGTCTAAGGATTTCCTAAGGTGCTATTCAAATGATACTTGCTATGGAAGGCCTACTCAGGAACCAGTGCTACAGTAAGTCATGTGATAGAAGAAAAGAGCTAAAAGGAAAACATGTGTTTTCACATACCCTGGAGGGTGTAGGTTATGAACTAAAATCATTATAAAAAGATACAAATCTCAAAAACATGTTTTCAGAGGTTTAGTCACTAAATTAGCATTTTCTGGTTTAGTTCTAATTTTAGTCATTCAATTAATTTTAACTTTAATTCATTATACACTCAAATTTCATACTACACTTAATAAAATGAGGTTTGATTACAATGTTAAATAACCATTCCATTAACCTAGTGGAATTTGGTTTGTGGCCCCCACACACACAAAAAAAATGGGAATATTCAACTACGCCAAAGATATAATATGCTTGTTATGAAAGTTGTAAAAGAAACTGTTATTACCTGCTGAACAGCAAGTGTACTGTCCATTTCATCAAATGATTCATCAGGCCAATTATAGAAATCCTATAAAAGAAAACTCATGGTTAAAGCACATACAAAGTTACAAGGAGGATACAGTAATGCTACTATAAACATCAATTCTTAAGAAAGATCCAGACCTCACACCGGAGTAGAAAAGCCTTTCCAATATGACTACCAGTGAAATAACAGAATCTAGGCAATAATCTTAAATGGACATCAAGACTGTATTTAATTGAACTACACAGTATATCTTTGTAACCACAAGCCCACAAATACATTAATCTTTCATGGACTGTTTAACTGGAAGGAAAAGTTCATCACTTTTTATTTACAATTGTTAGATAATACCCCTAAAAGTTGCATTGGAAAAATATCTCTAAACATCAAAAAACTAAATCAAGAGTTTTAAAGAGCTAGCATTACTAGTAAGCAATTTATAATTCCATAATACTATTTTAAACAAATTTCTATTTCATAGTTTAATACTATAAATAGTATAAACTTCTATTTCAATTGCAATAGTTTTTAAATTTCTAAATAGAAATATGACTCCCATTAAAAAGTACTAATCCAGGGGCTGGAGAGATGCCTCAGTGGTTAAGATCAATGGCTATTCTTCCAAAGGGACTAGGGTCTACTCCCAGCACCCACATGGTAGCTCACAATCATCTGTAATCCCAGTCTCAGGGGGACCCTGTACCCTCTTCTGGCCTCTTTGAACACTGCATTGCAGACACATGCAGGCAGCTGCCCAAACACATAAAACTAATGAAAATGTTTTTATTCTGAGCTAGGTGAAATAGAACAGCAAGCATGCACACAGCCCTGGGTTTCAATCCCCAGCATGAAAGGCATCATCCAAATGACTTTTTGTTTTGCTTTTTGTTGTTGTTGTTTTTCAAGACAGGGTCTCTCGGTGTAGCCCTGGCTGTCCTGGAACTCAGATTTGCTGGTTAAAGGTCTGTACCAGCTCCAAATTTTTTTAAAGATTGATTTATTTATCTATTTATCTATTTATCTATTTATTTATTTATTTATGTATTAGGCATACAATATGTATTTGTGTGTACACCTGCACACCAGAAGAGAGCACCAGATTTCATTTTAGATGGTTGTGAGCCACCATGTGGTTGCTGGGAATTGAACTCATAACCTCTGGAAGAGCAGCCAATGCTCTTAACCTCTGAGCCATCTCTCCAGCCTCCAGCTCCAAATTTTTAAGGCAAATATTTTTGTGGAACATTGGTCTCAAATCCAATCCTATTTTATTTTTCAACAAGGTTTACTTATATATCTCACACACTTTCGTTTTTTAATTTTTTTGTTTTGTTGTTTTGTTTTTCAGTACTGGAGACTGAACCTAGGGTCACCTGAATTCATGTGGTACATAAAAACTCACATAAGCACACACACACACAAATAAAAAAAATTTAAGTTAAAAATTAGATTATTTTGCTTTTAAAAATATTAGTGAGGGGTTGGGGAGATGGCTTGTTGGGTGAGTGTTTAAATTCCCTGCACCCACATTAAAAAAAAAAAAAAAAAGCCAGAGGGAGGCAAGCAGACAGATCTCTTCGAGTTCAAGGCCAGTCTGATCAACATACCAAGTCCTGGATAAACCAAGACTATATAGTAAGACCCTATCTCAAAAATACAAAACCCTAGGCTTGGCTCATGTCTTTAATCCCAACACTCAGGAGGCTGAGGCAGGCAGATCTCTATGAATTCAAGGCCAGTCTAGTCTAAGTGGTCCTGTCAAATGAGACAGAGAAAGTGCTGAGCACATGAGCTAAAAAAGCAAGCCGCCAGACACACATGCCTTGAATTCCAGCATGGTAAAAGGTAGGCAGTTCTAGATGGTCCCACGCTAGCTGTGTGTTCAATGTCAAAAGTTCAGAAACCCTGATAAAAGTAGCATGGCAGAAGAGTCTCCATGCATACCTATAGAGAAGACACCCACACATGCACACACAGAAAACATTTAAAGATTAAAATTAACTAAAAAGAAAAATTTTAGCAAACCAGAAATGACAATACATGTCTGTAATCCCTGCATTTGGAAGCTGAGGTAGCATTATCCAGAGGTCAAGGCTCACAGGAACTATCTAGTGGGTACCAGGAGAACCAGGCTTATATATAATACCCTGCCTCAAAACAAAGTCAACAGTGTTGGCCTATAGAGGAAGGAGGACATGGAGTTCAAAGTCATCCTTGGTAATACAATGAGTTTCAGGACAGCCTGGACTACATGAGAAAGAAAGAAAAAGTTAACTCATTATTAAATGTTTTGCCACATTAACTGTGACATTCATTAGACACTCAGGAGAAAAATCTAGCTTAATAAATATATACTTGGGCTGGAGAGCACTGGCTGTTCTTCCAAAGGTCCTGAATTCCAATTCCCAGCAACCACATGGTGGCTCATAACCATCTAGACTAAGATCTGATGCCCTCTTTTGGCATACAGGTGTACATGCAGATAAAACACTCAGATATGGAAAATACATAAATAAGACCATTTAATTAATTAATTAATCATGCTCCACGGTAGGTGGTGGCTCATGCCTATAATCCCCCTTGGGAGACAGAAGCAGATGGATCTCTGTGATTTCAAGGTCACATTTATAAATAAATAAATAAACGTGCTCATTTAATTCAGTCAATATATGTTAAAAAAATACTGTCTAAATTCTAGTCTAACTTTTAAAATGTACTACAGCACATGCCTATGATTCTACCCTCAGGAAAAGGAGGCAGGATAAGAAGTTCAAGATCATCTTCAACCACTTAACTCTCTGTTCAAGGCCAGCCAGCCTAGGGTACATAAGACCAAGTCTCCCCTCTCCACCAGAAAAGGCGGGAAAATACGACACCTACTACTCATACATAACACAATACACATCATTTTGAATCAGGTCTATTTTAGTGAAGACAAGGTATGTGATAAACAGGGAAGGCTGCTTAAAAGCAGCTTTCCTTTTAATCCTCATTTTTTCTTCTATTTTACTTAACCTTAACTTGTAATAAAAGGGGAAAATGAAAATTTTTTCACATGACTTATAAAAACACAGCAAAAGGACAGATTGCAGTGTTTAATCGAAAATTTTCAGAACTAAAAGCTTTCACCTAAGGATACAGCTGAGAGACAAAATGCACACTTAATTTACCACAGGAAAAGTCCTGGATTTAATCCCAACTTTTTTTTTTTTTTTTTAAAGGAAGTGATCACTTAAAAAAAAATTTTTTTTAAATGTTGCCAATGCACAATAATAGACCTGGAAAAAAAAAAAAAAAAGAACCTTGAGAAAGAATCGTTGTGAATAGTAAGAAGTATACATAGTATACAAATTATAAACAGAGTGAAGGCGACCTGTTAGTAGAAGGAACTGACAACTCATGACTCCGTAATGGTTTTCAGAGCAATTCTCTAGGCTGGGGATGTAGCTCAGCTGATGGCGAGCTTGGCTGGCAGGCCCAAGGCCCCGGGTTCATCATTCCCCATCGCTGCATGCGGATGTACTGCAATTCCAGCCCTGGGATGGTGGAACGCGGGACGACCTGAGTCCAAGGTCACCTTCAACTTCACGGTCTAACTCGAGGGTAACCTCAAAATCAACAATTAACAATCCTCTAAATCCGAAGAGGTGGCGGGAGGCTGAAGCAGGCGGATCTCTGAGTTCCAGACCAATCTAGTCTATAGAGCTACTTTCAGGAAAGCCAAGGCTACACAAGGAAAACCAACCTCAAATTAAAGAGAGAGAGAGAGAGAGAGAGAGAGAGAAAGAATAAGCAATTCTCTACCCATCAGAAGCATAAGTATCTTGATTTTCACTAATCCTAAAAAATACTTTTTTTAACAGAAAAAGTTTCCTCAGTACACGGTAAGAGACAGCAAGCCAGGCAGCAACAAGAACAGTGCCTGCTAAAATTACATTTTAAGCATATCTCTTCTGATTTTAGAACATCTCCATGACAGGCCATTTCCGCTGGCCAATTAATCCTATCAAGTTTGAATGCCAATTTGTTGTTTTTTTTTTTTTTTTTTTTTTATTTAACCATGAAGCATCCCAGGTCTGCAAATCCTAACGAGCACCAGTTTACTTCCGAAGAGCGCCCCGCTAAGAGGAGTCATCGGCTCACTCCAGAGTGCACACGTATGAGCAAGGAAATTCGCAAGGAATGACAGGTTAACAAGTCACAACCCGGTGGCGAGAACCTGCTGGACCAGGCAACAGCCGCCGGGGAGCCGC